GCCGAAACCGAAATAAAGCCGAAAGTTAACTTTTCAGTTTCGGCCGAAACCGAAACTTGGCCGAAAGTGATAAAATGGCCACTTTCGGCGCCGAAACCGAAGCCGAAGCCGAAATTCGGTCGGTCTCTATATGAAACCCATCGAGAATGACTTTTTTTTGTTAAATATGTGGCTTCCAAATTTAATTATTGTTTTTCTTCAAATAAGCAGAAGTGAGCTTTTTTTCTGAGAAATTATTGGAAAAAAAAATAATAAAATGTCTTGCTATTTGTCTTGATTTAAAATCGTCCATTTATTCAGAATGCTGTTTTTTTTACTTCTTTAATAAGCTGAAAATGAATATGTATAATGAAATAATAAAATGTAAACTTTCTAGATCAATAGAACGATCTTAATCTTTTATTTGAAAAAAAACGTATTTTCTGTCATGGGTTTTAGTCCAAAAAAAAATATGCTGAGCCCAAAGATTCCAAGTCCTCTACAAAGTGCTTAAAGGGGAGGGGGGGGGGCGAGGAGAGGGGGGTGTACTGATGATTTTTTTCCCCATAAAAGGCTAGTAACTGTTAGGCTATTTATTCTAGTTACTGGTATGAGTCTTTCAAAACACATACTACTAAACTGCGAAAGAAAATTACCAGATTACTGTAATCGGGTTAGAGCGTATTCTTTAAATAGGTTATGGGAAAAACCAAAGCTCGATTTCAAAAAAAATTAGCCTATCTCTTGCTGCCCACGCTTTGAACTAGAAGATTTGCAAGGGGACGCCATCGAAAATAACTCAAATCATGAATTACAGTTGCGATTATAAACCATTATGTTTTTGCAAAACATCAGTCACGCATTGAAGTGTATGATGCTACATCAGAGATTTTAGTCAGTTGTTTCTTCTTTAAAGGGTATAGGATGTATAACATTTTGAACTTTTAACATTTTGATTTGTGTCTAACAATTTTCTTATCAAATTTTGATGGAAAACAAAACCATTCTTATAATTGGTGAACGTTATTATTAGATTTTATCTGTATTGATTTGTCCCGTTCAAATGCACTTTTTTTCCCATTCGTTTGTGGGTTGGTTTTTTAGTTTATTTAAACAAAGGTCTTCCTCCATGCCAAATAATGTCGAGGCATTTGTTACGCCCCTGCCATATACCTCTCTAGCACCGCTCTCTAGCACCGCTCTCTAGCACCGCTCTCTAGCACCGCTTTCTAGCACCGCTCTCTAGCACCGCTCTCTAGCACCGCTCTCTAGCACCGCTCTCTAGCACCCCTTGAACGACAGAATCTTGAATACATGCTTGCGGAACTTTTTCGCCGTTAAAAAGTAGAGAAAAAAGTTGATGGCGTGCGACAAATCCAGCAGAAGATACCTTATCTCAGAGAAAAGCCGCCATTGGGATTGTACCGTACTGTCGTCTGCAGGTGGGGTCACAATGGACGGTATCAGCAACGCCGGGAGAAACAGAATCAGGAAAATTGCAGCCGACGAGACCATCATGCTCGTGAGCGTGACCTCGACTCGATTCGACATTGCGATACGGCTGTCATTCGACACGACTTTCCCTGGGGCGCCGCCGCTGTTATAATGGTCCTCGCGCTGTAGGAGGCGGCGGTGCCTCTTACCGGAAACGTGCAGCCCCCTCAGCACTGCAGCCGTGAGAATCGTGATGCAGACGAACGGGATGTTGACGTACAGAGTCCCGATCATCCAGTAGTAGATGTTGTGGTTGACGTCCGGTGAGCAGTACCACTCTCCGAGGACCTCGTCGACCGTCGCGATGGAGGTCACCAGGCTCACGCTGAACAGCAGCGCTGCTACGATCACCACGGCGTTGTGGATTCGCCTGCTGGTGATCAAGTAAGCCCGTCGCAAGGGGAAGCAGACGGCGATGAAGCGCTCGGACGTGATGAGGATCAGCGACCAGTTGGACATGGCGGCCAAGAACATGACCAGCGTCGACGACACGACGCATCCGGCCCGACCGATGGGGACGCGGAGCAGGTACAGCTGGAGGCCGACGAACTTGATGACGAGGGTGAGGCCGTCGAAGAAGGAGAGCGTCGCCACGAGAAACGTCGCCGGGCTGTAGGACTCCATGGTGAGTATCGTCACAATCGTCAGCGTGTTCCCGGGCAGACCGACTCCACATAAAACCCACAGGTAGTATTCGACTATGCCGTCACTGATGATGTTCAGGAGGATCGCCAGCCTGCGAATATTAGGAATAAGGATACGATTGAGCCATGAAGTGGATACCACAATGATATCATTTATTGGCTCTGACGTGGTCACTAAAATAATATCATTGAGCTACGGAGGGGGGTAATTGAAATTATATCATTGAAACAATATGAACTTAAAATAATAATATTTTACGAGATTAAAGTGGAGTTTGAATATGAATAAAAATATTCCTGGATGGTGTACGACGTCTTTGAGACGACAATTGACACGGCTAACCACAAAGGGGGCGAATAAGAACTAAACGTCTACAAAAATTAAAAATCTAAATCAACTCTAGTGCTGTGTTTCCCAAAGTGTGGTACGGGAAGAATTTGGTCGGAATGTGCGCTGCAAAGGAAAAAAATATATATTTTTTAAATTGTTATTAAAGTATGTTTAATTTTTTTTTTCTTTTTTTTTTTAAACGAGGAGTACTCAGTGTTACGAACATTATAGACAAGGGGGGACACAGATGTCGAAAGTTTGGGAAACACTGAAATAAAAAAAAAATGACCTGTTTCGTCACATTTCATTCAAATTAAAATATTTACTTTTGTCGGTCAAGCCGCAAAAGCTGTGGCCGAATTTTAAAATTAAATTACCTTTTAACCTCTGACAAAGAAATTAGTATGAACAATTCTGGCACTGCATTCGGACTGAATAAAGTCCCTGGTTAGATACTATGATGTATTATTCACTCAGCTATGTTTATCCAAAAACATGAATAATTTATTTTTAGATACCCAACTTAAAAGTTATGCTGTTACCAGTCAACCGAAATAGTTTCCTCGAGTCTTGCATCTGAACAATAATTTGAACCACCAGCCTCACGCTGACGTAAGACAGAAATTAAAATTTGTTTTCCTGAATTTCCAAAGTCAAAGGGAAATTGAGCTCTCCACGACACGAAACTCAATAAAAGAACCACTTTGCACGTTCCCTTATCAACAAAATCTCTCTACATGCTGGACGAGTGATATGTGGTTTAACGTGTACATTTTGTTAGAAGACTCTTTAAAGAATTAAAATAATGTTGTTGTTTTTTTGTTTTTTTTAAGTAGATAAAAATGTGATGCTGGAAATGTTGTTGTTCCATCATGAAAGGGCGATAACTGTCTCATTTAAAATAAGATTTAATGAAGTCCCGCCCCTCCCCCTTACCCACTCATCTGTCATCGTCTCCAAATGTAACATTCACCGCACTCACCACGCACTCACCACGCAACTCACCACGCACTCACCACGCACTCACCAGGAGATTTCTTCCGACTGGGAGTACGCTGTACTGTTGTCATAGTCTGTCCGTAAAAAATGGGTTGTGTTGTTCAGAGGACACACGTCTCGGTCAAAGGTCGCTTCGATTTGACAGGCAAACACGTCACGAGACGTGTCCGCTTCGGAATATGTTGTGTGGCTTATTATGTGCATGTTTACAGGGGTGGAAAATCCTGAAAAATTACTTTTAAAGTTAAGACATATACAAAAGTCTACGTTTCATAATCCTAATATGAAGTAAATAGTTAAATATTTCATGCTGAAATTTATGGGATCCAGTTTGAGATCTTCTTATTAAAAAAATTTCTTAACTTAATTTCAAAATGTTACTTCTACAGTTAGATATATTCCTTTGTACTTTAGAACGTAAGGCTAAACACTAATGTTGATCATAATAATACGAGCCTTAATTTGTAGACAACTGAATCTTCCGAACAAGTTAAGGTATTTTATTTCGACGACCATCAGTTGCAAAGTTAATTTTTCTGACATCAGATCTTGAATTATTTAACGTCACTTGTAGATCTGTGAAGAGAGAAATTTTAAAAAATGAAGAGTAACTATCTGATCATATATGGGCCGGTGATCTTAGTTGAAATAAGAGTTGTCTGTACATTTTCAAAACCCTTCAACACAGCAGTTTCCCTAAACTTGATGTAATTTGTTCAATCTTCTTACAGCAAAGTGACATCAATTTTCTCGTTGGCATGGGATTAACTTAAGTCTTGTGACAGATTGTAATAACTATATAATTGCAGGAAAACTTGAACTGAGAGGTTTTCAATGATTGGCAAGAGAAGAAACTTAACAAACATTAACCCATTGATACGTCTTCCACACCACTCATTCTTGTCGCTATCATACGTCAGTGGTTCCCGAAATGACACGATATAAAGTGGATTTATTTTATTTTGTTATTTTTTAATACACTCTAATAAATATTTGGCTATACATTTTAAAAGCAAATTTGGAGATAGAATATTATAGAACTTTTATATGAAAATTATGAGAGTGAAATAATTTGTTCTTAAAGTAGAATTTATTTTTTTTTAAAGAAATAATTAATGCTCAATAATTTTATTTTTAAACAAATTATCTCAATATTATTTTGAGAGCTGCTCAACGTTATCTCCACACAGTCAATTTGATTGTTTAATACGTAGCAGTTTTTATTCAACGATAAAAGACCCTGCATACAAACTAAATATAGAGGCTTTATACTTCTGCTTGAGAACCGTTTATCTAATTAGGGATCTGCTTGTGATGCAATGTGACATGTGCTTGACATTACTTCACATATTAGAGATCACTCAATGACACTCGTTGTTTGTGTATTCATTCTTCATATTTACTATGAAATCTTGACTGTGACTTTTCAAAACCCAGATGAATTGTTATAATGGATTTTCTGCTCAATATGATGAGCAGTGGTTAGTATCAATTTTACGTGTCCTTTAGCTAAAAGATCCTTGAATGCATCACTTGATGTTTTAAGAAACTGTTTCACAGACTTAGTAATGTGAATACGCTCATTTTTGTATATTTGAAGTCTCATTTTAATCCAGGGATTGACCAAAAGCATAACTCCACGTGTTCAGACTTCAAGAAGACACCAAGAGCTACACTTAATATCCCACTTCCAGGTTACTGAAGAATACTACTATAGACTTAGACGTCCATGACCAACATATCTACTTCGCTTACCAACATATCTACTTCACCTACCAGCATATCTACTTCGATTATCATATCTAATAGCTTGCGGATTCATATTTTTCAGTCAATACTTTGGTAAACAATTAATGAACTGGGTAGTCAAGAATCAGATGCCTTTTTTCTTGTAGCACCTAAAATTGGCTTTGAAGTCTAAGTATTTATTTAGCCTCGTTTCTAAAGACATCCCTATTAGTATTTTTTAGTGGTGATTGCTTCCATCAATATTTTTATTGAATCCGAGAATTATTCTTGTAACCGCTTTAGGCGAAAAAAAATAATTTCTGTCGACATGTTTTCTGATAGCTGAACTAAGAATTAGGTCTCTATGACACGAGATTCAAATAAGCGCCTAATTCTAGCTGATCTCTCAGTGAATTAAGCGGCCATAAAGAAATATATCTATTGTTTTTTAGACGATTTCTAAGCCACTCCTGCTTAGAGTTTAGACGTTCGCCCCTTGAGATAATATTTAATAACACACACCATTAGATAAGATAAGATAGATGAAATAAGATAAGATTCTTTATTGATCTAGATTTTTTAAAATGTATTTATATTGTGTACATATTCCTTTTCAACATACTATAAATAAATACATATTTAAGCCAAGAAAACATTTTACAATTATAACAATTTAAATGCATACATCTGAAATATTTCTCTAGCTTAGGAATCAGCCATAAATGAACTCCTTTATGGGAAAATATTGATATATATCCTATATATATATATAATATATATATATATATTGTGATCAAATAGATTCGGCAACCGAGAGTTCGCTTGTAAATTCGTACAGACTGGGGAACAAAATAAATGTATATATCTTTCGGTTCTAACTTTAAGAGAACAAATTAGCAAAGATCGTGTTGATCTTAGGTATCTGTGATGAAGTGTGGGGGGTGCATCATCCTAAAAATTGTTTAATTTTACAACAGCATTTTTCTTCAAACAGTTCTTCAAATAGTTCTTCAAATAGTTCTTCAAATAGTTCTTCAAATAGTTATTCAAATAGTTCTTCAAATAGTTCATCAAATAGTTCTTCAAATAGTTCTTCAAATAGTTCTTCAATTGAAGGATGTTCAATTTGTGTGACATTACTAGCTTTCTTGATTGGTCTATTTGATCGGTGTTGGGTGCTAGACGATGAATGCCCACAGAAGCAGTTCATATGACATTACTAGCTTTCTTGATTGGTCTATTTGATTGGTGTTTGGTGCTAGACGATGAATGCCCACACAAGCAGGTCATACTAAAGTTAAGTTACACTGTAGAATAAGATAATAATGTGTTTGTTTAGGCCAAAATTGTACAATTTTTAAGATAGAAATAAAAAGTCTTTAGCTGAGTTTTTTTTAAACAGAATTTCGCTGTGTCTTCCCATGTCAGCTCATTATTAATGGTGACACCTAGGTATTTTTTTTAAAAACTTTATATATCATTGCTCATTCAAAATAGTTTAAGCACATATACATTGTATGCATAAGGGGGTTATGTTGATAACTTCAAAATTTTAAATTTAGGTCATTCGTGTCACTACAATTATTGTTGAAAAAATATTGTTGAAAAATAAGGAAATTGTCATTAGTCTTTTTATTTTAAGAAAATCCTATTTTATTTGTTCTTGCTCGTCTTGTTTCAGCTCAGTTTTTCGACAATCAAATGAGAATGGACATTTTGATCTATCGATTACTTTTCTACCACTACAATTATACTGTAGTAAGCAATGGGGATCGATATGTTGTACATTTTTCGTTTGTTGTGCACGAATACTCGAGGGTATCGGAGTTTACATCGTCCCTCAGATAGCCTGAGACTGAGTACATCACCGTTTATTTCATCCCCCATATAGCCCAAGACCTATGGGAGTGTAGTTGACATTTATATAACCATTTCAGACATACAGACAATTTACCTGATTGCCAGGACCAACACCTAGTTCATGTCATATTTGGATTAATAAGTTTTATAAAGAGAGAAAACTTAATTATCATGTTGTAGTTTTGTTAATGGTTTAGTTATATGTGTATGTGATATGTTTAATATACTGAAAAAGAACACCAAATAATAATGTGTTTGTTGAAATTTTTCTTCCTTATTACTACCAATGATAGTTGGGAAGATAAAAAAGAATAAATCTTTTCCCATTTGCTCCCTTCTGAAGTCTGAACTTTCCCAATGATACGAGGTACGTCTTATTTCACGACTGAAAGCAAATCATAACTCTGAGAATAGATACAAATGTTGCTAAATGCTGGCATTATTTAAATTTAAAGCAATTGAGATGTGTGTTTGTTCCGTATTTGTATGTATCTGTTTCTCTTTAATTTGTATGTATCTGTTTATCTCATTAATTTGTGTTTATCTGGTTCTTTCTTTAATTTGAATGCATCTGTTGCTCTCGTTAATTTTTATGTATTTGGTTCTCTCGTTAATAATTTGAATGTAACTGGTTCTCTCGTTAATTTTCATTTAACTGGTTCTCCGTCAATTTGTATGTATCTGGTTCTCTCTTTAATATGTATGTAACTGGTTTTCTCGTTAATTTGAATGTATCTGGTTCTCTCGGTAATTTTAATGTATCTGGCTCTCTCGGTAATTAGTATGTACCTGGTCCTCTCATTAATTTGTATGTAATTTTTTCTTTCGTTAATTTGTATGTATCTTGTTCTCTCGTTAATTTGTATGTATCTGGTTCTCTCGTTAATTTGTATGTATCTGTTTCTCTCTTTTATTTATGTGTATGTGTCTCTCTCGTTCATTTGTATGCATCTTTCTCTCTTTAAACTTTAAGCCCAAACCGTTTTCTCTTTACATCCCTGCAATAATGTTTTCCTATCTATCACAACGCCTCTCATCCCTAGGTTGTTGTTTTTTTTTTTACTTTGTGCTCATCTGAGGCCTTGGGCTACGCTATAAATAGAGATGGAAATCGAACCCTCTTTCAGAAGTTCAGGTTTTGTTTGCTAACAGCTAAAGTTCGGATTCAGTAACAACTGAGGTTTGGACTTGTTCCGTAAATATGGCCTTGTGTCGTCTTGGCACCTTGTGTCTTTTGGCCCTGTGTGCCATCTTGGCACCTTGTTTCTTCTGGCCCTGTGTGCCATCTTGGCACCTTGTTTCTTTTGGCCTAGTGTGCCGTCTTGGCACCCTTTTCTTGTGGCCTAGTGTGCCGTCTTGGCGCCATTTTCTTGTGGCCTAGTGTGGCGTCTTGGTGCCCTTTTTTCTGGCCTAGTGTGCCGTCTTGGCACCTTGTGTCTTTTGGCCCTGTGTGCCATCTTGGCACCTTGTTTTTTCTGACCTAGCGTGCCATCTTGGCACCTTGTTTCTTTTGTCCTAGTGTGCCGTCTTGGCACCTTGTTTCTTTTGGCCTTGTGTGCCATCTTGGCACCTTGTTTCTTTTGGCCTAGTGTGCCGACGTGTTTCTTCTGGCCTATTGTGCCGTCTCAGAAACCTTGTTTCTTATTCTTATGGCCTAGTGTTCCGTCTTGGAAACCTTATTTGTTCTGGCCTAGTGTGCAGTCTTGGGAGCATTGTTTCTATCATTAGATCATTTAGGTTTTGAACAAAAATGGTTTTGCTATTGGATTTTCAAGTTTTAATCAAAATATCATCAAGTCGGGCGTAACTTGTGATGATCACATTCGTAAAAAAATATTTGGTTCTAATAGTTTTGTGATCATAATTCAGATCCAATGGTCATTTCGGCATGACACCTTCGGCCTGCTATAAGTTTGCGATAGATTCGTGCGGTTCATCTTCTGTGGCAATGTATTTTGGATTCGGTTCGGTTGTCAGGAAAGTTCTGGTTCGGCTCTATCGTCAGCAGGATTCCAGTTCAGTGTAATTTTAACTCATCTCTATTTTCTACGTTGTTCCTTGTCTCGTCTGCTGTAAAATGCTTTTAGCAGAGCGGTTCTCTTTTACAGTCCTGCTCAGTGAGCCCCGTCCCCAGATCCTACCCCAGCTTTTACTCGGGAGTCTGCACGCTCAATTTCTTCTCCCCCCCCCCCTCATTCCTCACGCCAATCAGCCTGAAAGCAATGGGTTTCCTGGGGCGCTCCACAACCGAAATAAATTCAGTTTGTAACTGGCACTGGGCTACATGATGCCTGATTTGAATGTCAATGAATGCTGTTCCTACCTCCTTCCAGATGCTTGAAAAGTCCTCTCCCCACCCAAATTGTCTAATAATAGAGACATTGAATTCAGGTATACGCCAAAATGCAACACTGAATTTTGAAATAATAATAAAACGCTACCAGTGCGATAATGGTCGATGCAACATTTTTTTTTTTGAAGAGAGTCTACGGCTCATAGTGCACTGGTGAAAGAGCAAACATATACATCTCTAGGTGTGAGCAGAGGCGTGGCAAGCAAAAGCTGCACCCGGAGTGTGGTAAAGCGACCTCTTCCAAACAGAATGTTAAATAAATTTACGTATTCAGCTTGATAAATGACGATTTTGGCGCCCTCTGAGGGTGGCCTACAGTGCGTGTGCGCCTTAATCCCCGATCACTCTTTTGCATGGCCCCGGTGGGAGGCTCAAATCTTTGGTCTACTGTGTAGCACTGCCTTTTATGTCTTGAATCGGTTATAACTTATAATAAGTATTACTTACAATTAAGCCTACTCCCATAACTTGGTGTTTCTCAGCCTTTTAGTGTTTGATGTCCCGCCACCACCCCAAACCTCTTGCAGCTAAGCTTAAAAAAGAAAACAGAGATCGCGCCCAGATCCGCTTGAAACATAAATGCATCACTATATCTATGGGTTAACATGTCTCCAGGAGTCCTCAAACTGCAGCCCCCCTCCCTTTCCCGTTAGGAAGCACAGGCTTAAACGAAGTAGATGCTCCAAAGGTGTGACCAATTGTGTTATCATACATTGTATTTTTTTTTTAGAAAAAGTGCAAGAAATTAGGCAATCCACTTTCTATATCACTACGCCCATAAAACATCATATATTTCAGAACTATTTTCAAAATAATAAAATTTTTCGTTGGCCAATTAGTTTCGTCAGCCAATCATTTAAGGCCAAGTAAATCGGTAGTCGGCAAATTAGCTAATCGGTGCAACCATATTTATCTGTTATGGGGTTACGTCAACAATTATTATGCATTTTTTACCCCACCCCCCTCCCTTCTCTTCAAAAAATCCTGAAATCACACCCCTGATGGACATAGTGTATAGTAGTTGATTTATCAACTATACAAAGGGCCTTAGAGAGAGTACATGAAACATTGAAGGGGACGGCTCGACGTAGTCGTCTACTCGGACTCAAATCTGCTCTCGAGATCTTGGGAAAGAGACAGGGTACCACCCACTTGGTCGACGTCATCATTGATGACGTGTGCAAAATCGGTGAGCTAGGGGGACCATTTCAAGAGGAAGTGGTACATGCAATGGGCAGACAACACGACCACCAGAGGAGTCTTTTCAAACTTGCCCACTCCTAGCAAACAAGACCCATGGTGGTGGTTAGGCCCCAGACAGCAGAGCTTAGTGACGCAGATGAGCACCGAGCATTGCCCCACTGGCACATATTTCTTGCGGCTGGATAACAACAGGGATCCTACCTGCCGGCATTGCAGCCTGGCCCCGGAGACCCTAGAGCACCTGTTGACCGAATGTCCCTCACTAGATCTCCCGGGGGAAGCCAGGGCGGTTGGAGAACCCTTTGTGAGGAAAATGTTATATGGCTCAGCTCAACAGATGGAGTTGATAGCCAATTTACTGGCCGGGGTCATAACAGAGTAATCTCGGACCTTCACCAGAATATGTGTGTTAGTAGTTGATTTATCATTTTCATCTTGTGGAACTGATACACCAGACAAGTCAAAATCAACCTTATCTAACCATTCAGCACTTAAATAGAAGTATTGTCAGTGTGAGCAATAACTGCCATAATTAAAGCTCTCTCTCTCTGTCTTTGAGTTGGTATAGTTGTTATTGAACATCAAAGAGTTGGTTTTTTATTTAAATTGAACACCGGGTTCAATGATGTGTTAATCATTCAAGGGGTGGATTAAGAGAAATGAAAGGTAAAGAGATGCCAATTTTTGACTTCTCTTGCGCTAACAAAGTATGCTAACATTCTGACCAACCATCTGCATTGCACAGTCAGACACATATTAAATAAGTCTTATATTGTTAAAGCCTAAACAAATAAGACACTTTACACTCATTAAATTGTTTAAAATAATGTAAGTACAAGTCAATTTTTAAGATTAAAATTCTAATAGAAAGAACATGATTGTTGATGTCAACTAATCTACCCTCCCCTCTTTTCCCCCTTGTCAACAACAATCAAACCTTTCCACCCCCCCCCCTTTTGTTGACGTAATAAATGGACGCCCCTTATTCCCCAAAAAGGTTATAAATATCTCCAAGAACATAAGTTGCCCTCAATCTCAGGATTATATGTGGAACGAATCAGTAGTCTTTAATCGTTCTACTGTGTACTCTAAATGTTTTGTTTTACTTCTAGAACAACAATTATTATGCAATAACTTCAATCTTAGCTTCTCTGACAATGTTACTACTGTTTTATAGTTAGGACATAAATGAAAGCCTGAAAAACAACATGTCGTTATTCAGGCTTTCAAATACCATGTGCTTCATATTTAATTCACAGAGCTAGAATGCAGCCTCTGCATATTTCTTCACAGTGCTTAATTCATCCAACCTATGTTATGTAAATATATTGTGTAACTATGTAATTCTCTATTTAGCGACTTTACCATTGTGGATGGATTAATACGTTTTTAATAAAAAGATGAAGACTTTTTTTACAATTGCGAAAGTAAAAAAAAAAGTAATGAGTAACAAAGCAACAATTATCATAAGCTAAAACTAAGAACATCTGATGTGTAAATTTGCTGTGCATAAGTTGCATGTAACAAATACACTACAGTGTAATAGTGCTTAGTATTTTGTAATCCTAAATTTACCACTAGTTTTCCGTTATATGTCTCAAAATACATAGTTATATTTAATAAAAAATCTTTCCATCAATTGTTACTTGCCTAAAGCCTAAATTATTCTAAATGAAAGAAAACAAATTCAAAGCAGTGAAATTGAACTTTTCAAAATATAAAAGCATGAAAAGAAACACTCTGAAACTTTAAATATATAGCAGAAAACAAATATCCACCAAACTTTTGGGTTCAATTTTTTTCCTAAGAACAGAATACATCAACTAAAATGTAAAATAAAAATATGACTTAAAATGAAGTGTGACTCAAAGGTGAAAGATAATCATGAAGCAACCAAACTCAAAGTTAGAAACATTGGAAACAAAAAAAGGAACTATATTGTGCAAATTTGCTGAAAATTTATATCATAAAAAAATAATCAAGGATATAATGAGAATACTCTCAAATACATGCACAGAATTTTTTTTTAAAATAAATAATATATGTGAGTAATACTTTAAAAATGATGACATGAGCTTCTGAGAAAATGGGTTTATTTCATAAATATTTATAAACGTTTATCAAAATTATAACATTCTGATAAGATCTGGTATTTGGGTCATGATCACAATCTATGACAATTTCCACCAGAGAGTGTACATATAAAAAAAATTATGAACTTTCTTTCACTTAATGGTAAGTGTTCAATTGTGAAAATGATTTTTTTTTTAAATTAAATAAAACAACATGATGTATTATCTAATCTCAGTTTGTAATGAAGTTTTAAGTTAATAATTTTTCCCAGTCATTACATTATCTTGAAACAACACTTATAGGCTCACATAAAATGTTAACATGAAACATCATATCAAAACTAAGTTTAGCCATAGCTTACATATATTATTGCTATTTAACAGTAACAGTATATTTTGTATGAAACATAACAAAACACTTTTCCTGAGGTTCAAAGCTATCCCAAATTATGCTTACTAATAATATATATTGGCTTTAAGCCAATAAACCACCCCTACCAACTGTTATCATGCATCACAGGGCAAGCTCTGAACGAAAAAATCATTCAACTATATATAGAAATAATTCTACTTCTTTTTTTGTTAACATTATTGACTGATCAATTTTTAAGTCCAAGGATTGTTTTCATCTCATTGGTCTCTGTCAGTATTTAAAAGAAGTATCCATCTGGTTTTTTTTACTGCAAGACACTGACCACAAAGTTAATTACGTCTGCCTCTCAGGTTAGAATTCAACACAGTTTGGCTGGATTTTCTAAAGTTGGGCTGCTTGTTATCTGCTAAACGACTCGGTGTGCGTTTTACAGGATTGGGCTTGGTGGTCATGGGTCTGCTGGACAATGCCCAACTGGTCGGCTTACGACTAACTGGTCGGGGATGATCCAAGCTGATATATGCATTGTGAAGTTTGCAGACCATTCCAAAGATATCAAGGTCCATGATCTTTTCACGTGCTTTTCCTTCCTCATAATTTATCCACTTTAAGTTTGTATTCTTCTGAAAAGTTATATTAATTACCTTGATAAGCATTGTAAAGGTCATTTATTCAAACTGAGGAAAAATGAAATAGAGCTCTCTTTCAGAGGCTAAATAGTTCAATCATCAAAGATCCAAAGCAGGAAAATTGTAAAAGGGCCCTATTCTGTTTTTGAATATTCTGTATATTTGGTGCAGAGCACATATTACATGACACAAAATTATGAAATTTTTCCACCCTACCTCTCATAACATTATATAATATTTTCATTAACCTCTTAATATTATAAAATTTCTAGCAGCCAGTTAAACACCAAATTACACCCAATTAAAGTTTTTTTTAAAAGTAGAAACAAACAAATTTCAAGCAAAGAGATTAAAAAAGTTGTATTTGTGCTCATTATTGTAGGCCAAAAATTCATTTTAGTTGTTTACAATGCAGGTTAATTTCATAAATTTGTTAAGCAGAAATTTTAAAAGAAAAATAATTGATTAAAACAAAAAAATAAAAAGAATCTTATATAGCATTGCTCTAGACCAACCCATCCCATAAAACATAACAAAATGATAAACCACCCCTACCAATTTTTTTTGTTGTGTAATATGTGCACTGTCCCTATTAGCTGGCCATTATTTGTACTTCAGTACATCTTTTTGAAATAATTTTCTTTGTTTAATAAAGATAACTTTGAGACTTAAGTAGACAACAATTATCTATTTTAGTAGACTAACTTGAGATATATTTTTAGATATGATTTAAAAATCTAGTTTGAAATGTTTCCACTACAAATTATTATAAAATAAGAAGAGCTAATACTACCTTATATCCCTAAAAGAAAACCCCAAAAAGGTGAATAAACACCATTAATATAATATAAATTTATAATTAATTATACATCATGTTTCATGTCAGCCACCAAGATTTTCAATACAAAATCAGAAAAATCATACAAATTTAATTTATGTTAAGTTGGTAAAGATTCTATATTTTCTAATTAGATAATATTATGATTACAAATTTTAAGTATAATAAAGGTATGGACTCTTATATGTTCAAAACTATTAATTCCTCTCTTCATAATTATGATTAGATCCTCTGCTAATTGTATAGTTTGAGAATTCACTCCTTGTACAATTTTTAAGTTTTAGGAATTTTAGCACATGATTTAAACATGCTGCATCAACTGGTGTGTTAGATTTTTGTAAATGGTATAAGTTGTTAATATTGTTATTAATACAGCATTATATACTCAGGAGTTTTTAATGGCATGGTGATCTCAAAGGGAATTAAATCCTTACATAAACAATGAAACAACCTTTTTATAATGCTTGCTTAGCCTGGAACCTCTGAAGCATATATTGAGTCTCTAAGACATTCTCAATCATTAGTAAAATTACTACATCTGAACACAATGATTCATTAAATTTAATTTGCCTCATTTTAAATTTTTAAAAGTAAGCTTGAATTATCAAACAACCCATTAAATATTTTAAAATATTTAAAACAACCAATACTCTGCCACCTTGAAACCATTCGTTTCTGCTGTTAATTGTTTTAATTTTTGATAACTTCAAAACGTTTATTTAGTGACATTTCAGCCTTACCTCTATCATTTCTTGATGCTGTATGTTAGGGTTATGGTAATTGACTATTCTAATTTCTATCCATTTGTGTTTTGTCATAAGGTAAGGATCCTCCAGTTGACCAATGAAAATCTGTAAATGAATGTCAAAAGCAATAAATTAAGTAATCAATAAATTTTAAGTTTTAAAAATAATTTGACCTAAGGGGGGATTAAAGTAATTAAATATTAAGCTCACTTTTTAATTAAGTTACAATTTCAATAAAATAGGGTCTAGATTTACTACTTAAAGACAAATTGATGACCAAATTTTAGATAAAATGCATCAAAAACTTATAGGATTTTTAATAATCAAATTTGATAGTAAACTCTAATAATAATAATTCCATAGAATGAAGAGTATATCTATTTTAATATAATGTATTATTATTCTTCTGGTCTTTGTTGCTGTTTTTTTCCAGTCAAACCCTTATTTCACTATGTCAATTTAAAGATGTATTTACAAATTTTAATTAGTCTCACTGTGTTAATTTTTTGGCAATGCCTCAACTCAATTTCACTTTTAGATTTCATCTTTATTTTGTTGCGTTTTTTCCTGGTTTCTGTTGTCTTTTGGAAAAAAAACGGGCATAAACAAATTATTAACAAAAACAAAGCATAAAAAAGAAAAAAAGACACATAATTTCAAGTATAATTTGAAACTAATCAATTTAAAAACCATACCTTATTTTAAAAAGTAATAAACTAAGAAAACTGAGTTAAAAATGATATGATTTTTATACATTCAATGGAAATATATCCACTGAAATCTTTGTGACAACAAACCAATAGCATTTAATAATTTATTTTAATTAAGATTTTAAGATCTTTTTATTACACACTAAATATATTGACATGTGGTTTACATACTCTCACAAGCCTCCAGGAGCTATTCTTGGATTGTGATGAGAAATATTGTTTCTGTAAAAAAAAATGTTTTTCAAAGTATGTTTTTTTAATGTTCTATATGTTTATTATATGAAGAAGTAAAAACCTAAGAAAACTAATTCATTTTATCAAATTTAAAATTAAATGATAATTATATAATAAATGGAACTTCATACAATGAAATGAAATCTTTGTGACAACAAATCAATGGCATTTAATGCTTAATTTTAATTAAGATATTAATATCTTTTTATTACAAAATAGATATATCATGAATAATGCGTTACATACTCTGACCACCTCCCAGTATCTATTCTTGGATTCTTGTTTCTGCAACAAAAAAAAACATTTTTCAAATACGGATTTTTGTTATATATACTTATTATTTAAAAAGTAAAAAATAAGAACATTAATTAATTTAAACCAATTAAAAATAAATAATATTTACATATTCAATGGAAATGCATGCCCTGAAATCAATGGCATTTAATGATGTATTTTAGATATTATATTAATATCTTTTCATAACACACTAATTTATAATGACTAGTGGGTTACATCTCTTTTTAATTGTTCTATATACATATATTAGTGAAAGAATTATTTTATTTAAAATGCTAAATATTTGTTTAAAATAAAAAAGAGTTTAATTTTAAAGATCATGAGTTTATATTTCATTAGACTAAATATAAACTCTTTCACTTAATTTTATAGCTTATTTCCTTTAGCAAATGAGAATGAGTTGAAGCCTTCCCTGATTTATGTAAAAAGGGATATTTATTTTTGTAAGTCTCTGAAGGCTTTCACAGTAACTTAACTTCATTTTAAAAATAAAATATTAATTTTCTCTGTCAGGAGCAGTAGGATACATTTTTATAAAAATAATAAAATACTTTGTAAGTGGGGGAACCGTTAATGTAAAATAATTAATTTAATGTTTTTGTCAACATGTGTCAGGAAATTAGCCCTTAATCATGGATATCATTATGCATACAATTAATTTTTTTTTTCTTACTTCATGGGTGTCTGATTTGCCACTATTTGTTTCATATGGAATTGGTGATGCGATGTCCTTCTGTCCAATGGTTGCTGTTTCTTTCAGTCTTGGGCCTGTGTGGCTATTATTGTTTTGATGTGGAATGGGTGATCTGCCTTCCTTTGGTCTAAGAGTTACAGTATGGTTCACGTCTTGGAGTTGCTTCTCTGTTTTGAAACCATCTAAAGCTTTTTGCAGGATTTTCTGTGTTTTTTCAAATTTAATTTGTATGCCACTGATGTATTCAGTAAATAGATCACATTCTGGGGAACAAAAAACCTGTTCAAAAAGTAAATTGATGTATTTAATGTTTGTTTATGAATTAGCATACATAGTTATATTTATTTAATTAAGAAAGTCTTTAACTGTCTTCATCATAAAGGTTTACCTCCTCATCAACTCACATCATCGCCACCCTCCTTACCAAACAAAGTATAATTTTTCTACAGCCCACTAAGTTTACTTGTAAATGAGTTATTTACCGTGGGAAAACTATAATTGCCATCATTTTCAACATTCATCAAAAATTCAAGAACAACTTTGCCATCTTTCTTGACAATTTTTGTTCCATCAACCTGAACCCTAAGGAAATCATGTGAAGAAGTTTAAAATACTTTTCATTATGAAATTACTTTGGTATGACAAAATAAAAGAGTTCATGAAATGAGGATTTCAACATACAGTTAATTTATAGCTCAGCTAAGGGAGACAATGTGGTGCCATGATAATCTTTGCCAAATGAAATCTTACAATTTTCAACAACAGTAAACTAATTACAGGAGATGAAAGGACTAACTAATTCCACAGCATAAATTTACCAGAAGATCAAACTGTAATTTTAAGAATTATGCAGAAATTTGAAAAGGTTATACACATTTCTTTTTGTAGCTGTGCATTCAAATAATTTCGTTAAATAGTTACATAACAATACTTACCTTGTTACTATGGCGATTCCTACATGATTAGGACCCCATCTTGGTAACATTTTATGAACTGCATCCTTTTCTTTCTGACTCTTAAAATCATTGAGTAATTTAGGGTTGATAGGGCCACTGTTTTCTACTGCATATGTCCCTAAATAGCTTCTCCTGTTTACATTGTGTTTTTTATCTTTGGTGTTGAACTTGATACCCTTTGGATTTCTGAAATATACATATTTTTTTGTTAGGATGACTTAAATGATCTTGTAAAAAAAATCAGCTATAGTGTTAGCTAAGGTTTTTTTTTACAATTCGTACTAGACGCATAACTAAACCAACATAATTATCTGAAATGCCAGTTTTGGATGAACTTATATCTTTATCTATGAATAAATATATTTACAAAGTTATATGTGTTTTCAGTAGCGATATTTTCCATAATCCAGAGATTTTATTCCATTTGCAATACTATTTTTGTTGTAAACTAATTATTATACCATTTTAAACAAATTAAATCATATCACAATTTAAAAATAAAAAAATTATAATAACTTAATAATGGCATAGCAAAAGTTGCATTAAAAATTGTGCATAATTAAAAAAGTTGTATTAAATAGCCTATTTAAGTTTTTAGAAAATGATAGAACTAGCCTTTCCTGATTTTTATTTTTTAAGCCATTTGAAACTTAATTTTTTAGGTATTTTTAAAAAAAGGTATTAAATGCTTGTATTTCTGTAAGAATTCAATTTAAGAATTAGTTATAAATGTTGACTAAAACATAGAAATTAGCAGGTATAATGTTTCCAAAATTGAAATATTTAAAACAAATGATTGCCTAAATATAATTTTTTTTTTAAATATTAAAGATCATTGATGGTCTAATAGCTAACTTCCATTTAAAACACAGATTTCTTCATTTCAATATGAATAGCTAAAAATTTTGTAAAGTAGACTTTACGAGGCAGTTGACATACATGGGTTCATTAACCATTCTCTGTGACTGCTCCTCTTTTGACACCAAATATGAATCACTATACATTGGTACCTTTGGAGATATTAAAATATAAAAATGAACAAGTGGTAAATTAACATATATTTTCTTTCGTTTTATGCTTCTTAAGTTTATCCATTAATATCTTTTACTTGCCATATTTCAACTATCAAGAAAACTTTAACAAAAAAAAAATAAGTTACTTTACAAATTATCATCCCATTATTTTAATTACAGCTTTTTTTTTCTTGCTTTAGATGTAAAAAAAAAAAGCATTACATATAATTGAGTTTTCATTTGATTAGAACGAAAATCATGGATAATTTGTTAAGGAAAATAAATTACTAGATTTCCCTTAATTCATTTAAAACACAAAAGAAATTTTACAGAACGAACAGTGCACAAGCATCAAGATCATTACAACCTTTTTACTTCCTGGGGTTTAATTTTAAGTATGCCAAACACACAAAAATTGTTTTAAATTTAAAGTTAAATCATAACAAAAATCAGGATAATGCTAAAAATAAATACAACAAACGATTATAAAATGTTTTAATGAAATAAAGTTTTTAAGGATGTTATTATTTCAACATGAAAACAAAAAACCAGATGTTTTTGTGAAGATATATGTTTATTCCTTACTGTCATGAAAAAAAAAGTGGATTTTAAAAAATTGGTAATTTAAATTTTCTTTTTGAAAAATTGTTCACAGTTATATTTCAAAGCTTCTTTGTTCCTCCTAATACTTATATTGCTCCTATAATTTTATTCTTTTTCTGAAAATTATATCATCAATAGAGAGATACTGGAAAGAGATGTCAACAAGTAGATTTGTTAAGATTCTTTTTAAAGAAATTATATTTTAGTTTGAAATTAACAATATTTTTAAATGTAAACGACTATATATTAAATGTATTAGTTTAATGACACTTACCCAAAACAGAAATGGATTAGGCTCTGAGTCTGAAATTTAAAAAATATATTTAATTTAAACATATTCATATATATTATTAAAACACTAAATAACTTAAGGGGGAGTTATATTCTTCTGATCAGATTTATTTTTCTGTTCTCTCTCATCTTTTCCAATGCAAATGATTATTTATATTTTCCTAAAAAAAGTAAACATGTATTAAAATTGATTTTTCATTTAGTAATCTTGGTAGTATGTTGTAAAGGAATATATTCAACTTTTGAAGTTTTTTTTTTTGTTACAATAACTAGGCACATAAGTTGGCTACTTTCTAATGTTATGCCCTTTTATTGACAAAGGAATTTTATTTAGACATACATTTTTTTTAACAATTTACAATCTAAAACTACATATTTGTTAGTGATTTTTTAAAAATTATTGTTTGTGCATTGATTTGATGATTTTTGTTTTGCTTCTTGTGTTATGAAAAAATAATGGCTTTAAAAGGGTAGGATAAAACTACCTTCATCGTCATTTTGAAATTCTTTCTTGTTCTCACCACTATCTTTCCTGAAGAAATTGCTCGGTCTTCTGAAAATGACATTTAAAATATTACTAAGACTTAAAAAATTTGAAAAACTCATCAATGCCTCAATTAATTTTAAGTATTTAAAATTGTTTTTGCATTTTCAAAATGAATTAAAACATTTGAGCTATTAAAATAATATTTGAATATTTCAATTTTATTATCTTATTTATGAACTAGCCTACATTTTTTTTTATTTTAATACCTTTCTGTTTTCCTGCCTTCATCTTGATTCACTTTGTGTGCTGCAAGAAATTTTAAGAGACAATCTTTATTCTGAATTTTAATTGACAATGATAGAAACTGTTTAATTTTTGATAATATCTTTTATCTTAATAAATATTATTAACAAATCCTCTAAATATGGCTATATTTAAGTGCCTTAATTATATATTACCTTAAATACCAACTTAAGTTGTTTTAAAGTAAATACCTCTAAACAAAACAGTAACTGAATTTACGAATTGCATTACCCTACCTGTCTTATTGTTCTCTGGGTCACTTTCTGCCGTCCCAATTTTCGATCTGCTAATTTTAGACAAATAATGCACTACCTTTTTTTTTAAAAACTGGTGTTCATTTAATCTTTTGTGTGGGTGTGAATGTTTCCAACAGTAATATTTATTAACAAATCTCAAACAGAATTAATATATCTTAATAGGTTGTGTTTTTCTGTTGTTTTTTTTCTTGAAACAAAGTTGGCTTTCAATTATTTTTTTTTTTAAATATTTTAAAAATTCTGCATACTGAAACAATTTTTTTATGTAATTTTTTTTTTTCTTTTTCAATAATGTATTTTTCATAGACCAGATAAAATTAAATCATCTTGTCTTTTTATACTGATATTTCATAGGCTCATGAAAAGTTTTATGATTAAAATCCTATAAAAAAAAAAACTCTGAGAAATTCAAACAAAATTTATGATTTTTAAAGATTTTAAATTAATTCATGAAAATTTATGATTAAAAATTTAAAAGAATATCAAAGATTAGCTTAGAATAGTTTACTGTAGGCTGAAAGTAACTACCTTTCTTTAGACTCTAATTTTTGTCTTTTTTTCTCTATCAAGGGTTCAATATCATTTTGTCGAACAAAAGTCTCCAAATCTTCAATCTTTTCAATGATTTCCCGAGTAATTTTTCCACTTTCATTGCTTTCTTTTAATTCAAGCTGAAAATGCTCACTGTAAATAGCTAACATGAGAAAAATAAATAGAATGAATGTACTTAACTAATTTTCAAGTAGATCTAGTATTACTTAACATTAAAAAAGTTAAGAAGTTGTTTTTTTTCGTTAGAATTACAGAAGTTTGTATTTTCAAATAAACAGGTTTTTAATTAACAATTATTGAAATATGAGGCATTCAGTCTTTATTACTGTTCTTTAATGAATCCTTGAAAACTTACAAAATCCATCCTCTTTATCAAGATCCTGATCAAATACCCTTGCAAGCAATGAAATCAGAGTGAATGGTAGAGGTAAAAACATTATCTTTGAAAAATCCCGAGTTAATTCACAAAACTGAAATCTCCACAACTTTCTGGATTTTTTTTGGATTTTGGCTATGGATTTCCTGGAGAAAAAAATCGTAAAATAATATATGACATAATAAAAAATTCAATACATTATATAACAATCTTAGACACACTAAATTTTTACATAAAACTTAAATCAATATTCATATTAAAATTTCAATAAAAATTCTAATTGTCTTTAAAAGCCCATCTTATTTTAGGGCTTATAATGTCAATATAAGTATAAGTATAAATTATACTTATAAAAATATAAATATAAGCTTATAAATAATAAAAAATTTAGTGTTTTTAATATTTTAAGACTTTGCACTAATTTTTAGAAATTAAATTTCTAATTAAATGTGATTGTATTTAAAGTCTGAAGTTTTAAGATCAAAACTATTTATTAAAATTTAAACAATAAATTTTTGTGATAGCTAAAAAATATTTATTTTTATTTTACACACGTGAAAGCAGCAGTGATGAGGCTGAACAGCAGGACATATGTGAACATAATGTAGACAGCTAGCAGAACTGGTGCAAAGTAACGTCCGATTGTAGATGGACATCTTAACATCTCATAAGTTGCATATTTTGTGGCATCATTTGTACATACCAAACTGTTAGGGTCATCTGCTGTATATAAAGCATGCTAAATTTGATAAAATCTAAATACCCTAAATGACTTCATATTTTGTTAGCCTAAATCCTTGGACCCAGGAAATAGTTTTATAATGCTTTTATTGGAAATATCTGCCATGCTACATGTGATTGAAAACAAAAATAAAATAAGATCTTTAAAAAAGAAAATTCAATTTACTTAACTCAATTTTTCAAAATGGAAGGGTAGACATTAGTTTTTAAAATTTTTCAAGCCATTAAGAATTGAAGCCAACTTAACTTTTGATTGTAATAAGATAAGAAGATTAGAAAAAGACTTAATGAAGTAAGATCCAATCAAATTAAAGTTTGCTGTGAATGTGTTGTATGGGTGAATTTCTAGCATTTGCAGTAATAAATACAAACTATTAAATAATTATAATTTTATAAAATCTACGACAACAACAAAAATAATGTGATTTGTTGTTAGCCACAATAAATTTTGTAAAAAGTTAAACCTTTTCCAGCCTCCATTTCATCCAGGAAGAGCTCCCCAAACATTTGCCAGTAAGCTTTGCGGAATATATAATATATTGTGAAACGATTGAGAACTGTATTTGGGTACAAAATTGCTTCTGTAGCAACAGCATAGCTGACCCAAATTACAGCTAGAATATATAGAAACTGTGACAGAAGCTTTATCTGAAAAGAAACATTAATTGAAATAGGCAGATTTTAATTGAAATAGGCAGATTTTAATTGAAATATTTTAACCTTATAAGTAATACTTGTAAATCTGATCTACAGAATTTTTTTAAAAAGCATGTCTAAGTGACCAATTTTATTCATAGTCCTTTTAATACAGTTGCTTAAGTCTAATATTATACATTTTAAAATTATGGAAGGATTTTTTATTTTATGCTCGTAAAATTTTATTTATTTGGAAAATGAAAGAAAACAAATAAGTGACAGACAATACTAGAATAGGAGTTTGAATTTAGATAGTAATTGTGCCAGGATTATTACTTTTTTGCCTTGAATTATATCACAATAATAGGAGCAAAGTTCTTGAAAGCCATAGTAACGTTAGAAATAACTTTTCTTTTTTTTAAAAAGCACATACTAAATTCTTACAAAAACTAAAATCAGATTTTCATCAGATCTTTGGATATCCAAACAGTTAGCAGAAAAAAGGTTAATTTAGTATTTTAGGATTATTAAAAAATTAGATAATGCATTTTTGCTATCTGATTTAACAATGACTCAAATTAAGAAAAATATTAAATACCTCTCCTCATCATATATACCATTACTAATGATCACTTATGATTACATGTGACATTGCATATCATGAGAAAACTTATTCATTCATAAAGTGGATTTATAACGATTGAATTTCTTATATGACACCATGTTTTTGTTGAGTCAATATAAAATACATTTCCTTTTGCAAAAATAGTTATTATGTTGTTTTAAATCATATTATTTGCCATTCATCTCATTATAAGTCCAGTGTCTATGATATTATTGACTTACTGTTTTAATGATCATTGCACAAGTTGGTCCAAGAGTAGGGCTACCATAACAGTTGTGTAATAATCTCAAGGTAAAAATGATAAAATCCAAACACAGTGCTACCCTTCCAAAATCAAACATTGTTGTGCCTAAAAGGTGGAAAAGAAGAGAGATTTAGTAGGAAATTTTTAAAAGAAACAATTTATAGTAGCAATAGGCTGTGGGTCTTCTTTTTTCTTCTATATCAAATTTATTATTTCATCTCATTTAAGGGTTTCTTAAATTGCCTCAGTAGCAATCACAATACTCCCTAACAATTTTTATAAGTTTATGTCATCAATTTTTGCCTACGCAAATGTTTAATATATTTTGTTAGCAAATCTTTTTTAACTCCAAACATTGATTTATCATAATTACAAAACAAAGTAAAAGGCAATTTAAATATTTTAAAGGTATTTTATATGTTGGTTGTTATCTATGTAGAGAGGTGAAAAAAAACATCTTATTTTTTTTGGTGACTTTAAAGGCTTTGTATAGCGAAGAAAAAAAACTAGACCCAAGCAGTGAAGTTTATTTACACAAGTAGGTCACATTGATATAACTCTGTATACTGCAAGGGTGTTTTTTTTTTTTATAACTAATTGTTAGTATTATTATATGATAAAGTTTTTTAATCCATAATATTTTCCCATACCATACCTAATAAAAGTGTAGGTTTATGAGAAAATAGATAGTAATTTTAAAAAATTCATTTATTTGGCAATGTTGAAAACATACAAAAATATTCAATTAGGCATCTAGATTTTTTTTAAACATAATTTCTTAAGCATTACCCGATTCGTCAAAGTATCCATATATTCGCAAGCCTGCAGCAATAACAAACAGTAGTATTGATATGATGTCCACCAAATTCCATCCACTTTTTAAATAAGATTTTAATCCTTTGTTTTTTAACTGTGTCAAAGTAAAGGAAAAATATATTTGAAAGCACATTTTTAATAAATACATACATGGTTAAGTTATAGCTGAGTAAAGACTAATTTTCAATAGGTATTTAATTTTTCTTTAAACTCACAGAATAAAAAATAGTCATGAAACTATAAAGCTGTCTTGAAATATTAAAAATAGAGCCTATTCCAAGTAGATAAATAATAGAATTAGGATTTTATAATAAAATTTTGTGAAATTATAGTTTCAACAGAGAATCTTCAATAATTAATTCTCATACAGCCCTATCTATATTTTTTTACATAGGATTCTTTTAAAGAGTACTTTAATTTTCACTACCCAGTTTTGATTATTAAAGAAGCTGATGCTTGCAATTTTAAAATTATCAGGGCAAGCTATATAAAGTTTTGTAAAAAGGAAGTTTGCAAAAGCACCTTCTGAAAGATACATTACTTTAGGAACGAAATCTATTTATTTGACAAAGCCATTAATGATAAGATAATAAATCAAGAATTAAATTGCATTTGTTCGGTCCAAAAAATTTTATCCCATCCCCCACCCTTTAAAAAAACAAAGCATTTCTCATACAAAACAACTTTGGACAGAAAAGTAGCATTCACCTCATAGGATTCCTGCATGAAGCCAACCATCACATACAACACCAGGTAACCTTCCATCCAATGAAATGTATGCTGTGTCAGTCTTCCAAGGACAACAAGACAGTAAATGAAGAGAAAAATAAGAAGCCCAATCTGAAATGAATGACAGAAACTCAAAATACATAGATTAAGTTTAATTTATTTTTAATATATATATATGTAAACCCTCTTCTCTCCTCTATTGCTATCCTCAAAAAACAATTATTTCTTTAATATTTCTTATTTATATTTGAAATCATTTTAAATATTTTCAAAAAATTACATAATAATTACAGAAGACTTAAAAATATAACAAAATCAAATCTAAAAAAACAGAAACCGTTTTCTGATAATGGAACAACACTTACTCCATTTAATGAAAACATGGTCATTGGTACACAGAGCAGAAGGAAATATCTTTTCCTGTTTAGTGTCAAGGAAGGTGGGGGGATATATTTATCATTTGACTTATTGAATAATTAAAAAAAAAAAAAATTATATTTTAAGAATTACAATTATTATTGGTAAAAATGTAATAATTTGAATCAACATCAAGCTATATATACACAGTAAAATAATAATAGTAATGTTAAAGAATCAGGTTATCTATTTTATTTCCAAATAAAAACTAGATTATAAATGGTATACTATAATATTTACCAGTTCTCTGTTAAATTTAAAGAAGTTGTCTTTTGACCCTAAAAGATTTTAAAATTTTGTATTTGACATGGTAATTGAAAAACATATAGGCATAGGCCTTGACATGGTAATTGAAAAACATATAGGCATAGGCCTACAGTTAAATTAACTTTGCATAATAAGTATGAAGGTAGTCAGAATTTATTATTTCTAGTTATGCCAGTTATGCTAGTTCAATATAACTCTTTTATAATCCCTTACGCTGCTTCATAAACACCTTGGGAAAACAAAAAGATAGCGGAGCCAATTATTTACATACAAAATTCCGGAATTGAATTACAAAAGTTCAGATCAACCGCAGAACTATTCAAAGTAATGAAATAAAATTGTTTAAAATTGTCTGACATTCTGGGTAATCTTTGTGCTGAAACATTAAATTATGGTAAAGTAAAATCTATATTAGATTAATAAAATTTCCACAAACAAAAAAATGGGGCGGGGGTTCCCCTCATGTGAAAGTTTACTCTTGGAATTAGAGTTGGGCTTTCTAAATTCAGATTCAATTTTTTTTTTCCAAATACTCTATTTGAACTTACATTTTCTGAGTAAAAGTCCCAAAGGTTTCCCCATCTCCACACTCGCCGCTGTAAGGTGATACAAGCTGGTTGTATGAGGAAGTCCAGATTGTGGGACAATAATGCCAGATCAATGCAGGAGGGATTATCTTTAATTTGTTTCATTTTTCTTGTAATCATTTTAATAGTTGTTTCAGGATCCTCATCATAGCATGCATTAACATAAGAGACTCCAATGGCTTGATATTCACTGAATTTTGAACATATTGATTGAGAAGGAGAGGAAATTTTTATCAATATTTGAAATCGTAAAGATAGTTACTTCATGACCACTAATGCCCTTGCTTGTTTTCTGGTGTATTTGATTACAGATAAACGTTTCTATTTTCTTTAATTTTAAACCCTTCAGATGTGTTCTAAAGTTAATCATAATTATCCATAATTATCATAATTTATTAAACATCCTATTCAGCTAAGAAAGGCTAAGGGAAGATATTTTATTAGTAGAGCAGAGATTAAATTTAGCTTTTATTTTAAAATAATTTTATTCTATAATCCAAATTTTAATTTTTTTTTAATCAAGTGATATTGAATGAATTAATATTAATTTTTTAGCCAAAGACAAGAGAAAATTTGTGACACCTGACTTTACATATCCAGTGTCTTTGTAAATGAAATTATCAATTTTACTCACAGTGCTGCCTCTTTTAAATTGGCTCTTTTTAAATGGTTTCGCTCCCTTTTTGCAGCTTTCTTTAGATAATGATATGCCAGTAAAAGAGTCCCAAGAGGATTCTAAAAGGAAAGAAATAAACCATTGCTGTTTGTATATACAATTTGTTTATTTTAAAATTTGCTGAAAATGAGCCTTTTTTTGAACAGTATTCCAGTATATTACAGTATTCCAAATAATATAAATAGTTTTTAAAATGACTTGAAACACTGCAATACTTACTTTAGTATCCAACCAGAAAAGCATTGACATTGCAATATTTTGGCTTACAAGACAATGTCTAAAAAGATGGTCATATATTCCATAGTCATCTGTACTCATTTGAGAGGGAAGTGGGAGAAGGAAACAATATAATAAATTATTTTTTTTTTACAAAAAAATTTTTTTTAAGTTATGTATTTAAAACATGATTTTAACCAAAATTTTGAAGGCAGTCTGATGAACTCACCTTAGCTTAATTCTGCAAATCTGAGAAAATCCAAGTCCAAATTTTTTTTCATTGAAAAATTTATTTGGCATATTGTTATTTTAATATTTCATCATCAACATAATGTGTAATATTGTGCATACTTTTTCCAAATTCCATTTTCCTTGATTTCTACTAAAAATTAGGATTTTAAATAATTATATTCCAAACAGAAGTGATTATAGAACAGAAATCACTCAACCTACATTTGATCTTTAAACCTTTATTTTGCAGAATTTACTGTAAAATAGATAAATGATTTTAAAGCAAGAGAATTCAAACAACCTGGACTTTCATTAAGGAGGTCTGGCTGCCAAAGAGTAGAGTTGCAAAAGTTAAGGGCTCTTGAGTCTGTTACAATACTGTACATCACAATATCCTAGAAAGTACAGGGTTTAAAAACATCAAATAGATTCTCATTCAGGTATTGAAGGTTATAAAGATAGTTGTTTTTAAACTTAAAAATTCATAAGATATCATTATTTTAAGGTATTTTAAAATAATTAACAAATTTAACTTTTTTTGTTGAAATTTTAGAAATTTATTTTAAGAGATAAATATGACTTTTAGACTTACATAAGATTGTAGTTTCAAAAAGAAATCTTTTCTCAAAAAATATTCAACAAATTGTAGCCTTTTCTGTGAATAAGCTGATTGAATCACAGACAAACAGTCCATAATCTATGTGAATATGAGATACACAATTGATTAGCATAAATAGACTTTTAAAATAAAAAGTGACATTTAACTTTATTATAGTTCATTCATAAGTATAACATAACTTTAGCTCCTTCTATTATAATATGTCTCAACAAAATTTTCATTCAGGTCCATATAAAAAGAAATTAATATAGAGACTCTCATAAGAAATTATATTCCAATGTTATGCATAAATAAACAACATTTAATCATTTTAAATATATTTTTCCATTTCATATGAGAATATTATTCAATATAATTGAAGAATTCAAAAAAGTTTCAATCTGTAAGATTTTTTCCAACGAAATATTAATTTAAAATAAACCTTGTTCAAATACAAATCTATATATTACTAGGGTAAACAGATTAATATGTATCTGTTTAATGTGTTAAGCTTTTTTTTTTACCTTCAAGTCTTTAAGTAAATATTTCTCAGCTTCTTCAAAACAATCCAAGTCTATGCACAGCTTAAGTAATTTTGAATTTTTTTTTGGATTTCCTAAAAACAAAAAGAAAACTTTATGGGAAGGAATAAGAAATTACTTTATTTTCTAAGCTATTAAATGTGGGCATGTTTAAAATGTAAAATGTATGTTTAAAAATGCATGGTGTAAAATCTTTATTTATTAATATAGTTTAGTACAATTTAACACTAAAACTAATATACCTTTAAGAATGGTCTGCAGAATAGCCTTGCCTAGGCCTAAATCTGGCAAACTTTGATCAGGTTCAAAGACTATAGCAATATCACAAAGCTTTTCTAGCCTCAAGTTTTGTGTGTCATCCTTCCTTGGAGTTTTAGCAGTTGAATTTTTATTTTCCTGCACTTCATTAGGTGGGATACTAGGTGGTATTAATGATAACCTTTTTTCCATGCTAATACTATCATGGCCATTTTCTGCATTTTCTTTTTCTCCCTGTTCCCACCTGACATATTCATTTAATTGAATCAGTATTTCTTTGATGGACACAGCGCTGCAGAAAATGAATCATTAAAAAATGTATCAATATGTTTCTGTTACATCAGACCTGTTTACCCCCAAACTCCTAAAATCGTACAATATCGTGTCAAAATCGTACAATGCAGTATTTTGATAGTAAATAAATAAAAATACAGTATATATAATGTATACAATAAATACTCCTATAGCATGTTCAGTGGAATCGAGTTAAGCTGGCGTCAAAATATAGAACTGAAGGTTAACGGTAGATGACTGACGTTAACCGCAAACGGCGGTCACTTTGTTTTGCAGACGTGTATCGGCTAGTACAATATATTAATTAATATTTGGGTTAACGTGCTGATCACATTATCCCAGTCTGTCACAGGTAAAAATAAAGTCACCGGTGAAATTTAACGTTGTTCAAACTTGACGTCAGGTGGGCATAAAATAAAATGTATTAAAATAAGAATTAATTACCCGGTAACGAATTGGGACCCCCCCCACCTTTTTGTGTGTGCGGTACAGTGAGCTTTAAAACACCAGCAGCCAGCCCCCCCCCCCCCCCCCTCTGTATATATCCGGTGGCTGCGGCTTCCTCATCGGGGCGTTGCGAAATATTTTTAAAAATTCATTATTTTATTTTCACTTTTAAACCAATGTGACAACTTTCGGTCGTAACAGTAACTCACTAAGAAATTGCTGTTTGCAGTTCCAGATGGCGCTCAGTGACCTACATACACGTTATATTTATTTTTATCCAACCCTTATTTTATTTGTGTATTCGCTATTTCGAATTGTACATGTTAGAATTCAACACAGGGAGCCTGGTGAAAACGTAGTGTGGCAAAGGCGCAGGGAAACTAAAATTTTAGAACCACTGGCGTAGCCCACCGAATTATATGTAGCACGTGGCCTTACCATTCGGTGGACTAAAGATTACTGTAATTTCTCTACTACTGAGTTTAAGAATAGCCAGCGAGATCATTTTTGAAAATACATCTTGACAACATCACGACGGTAATTCCTGCAAACATTGTCTGGTATTTTACAGCATTCGATCTATCAATGTGCTATTTTAGGACTTTCAGAGTTTCTGGATGAATAGTGTAGTATTTTTAAATACCGCATTTACTTTCTGCCGAGGAATATCCCCCCCTCCACCCCCCCCCTGACATTACGAAAATGTATGTGGCGGAGTTGATTGTATAGATTTAAACATTTAGACCCGCACCATACACACTATCTCCTAAATCCACACCACTCATTTTGCCTCTGATTTCTACTAACTAACACACGTATTCTGGCGAGGGTCTGAGATTACTCTCTTATGACCCCGGCTAGTAAATTGGCTATCAACTCCATCTGTTGAGCTGAGCCATACAACATTTCCCTCACAAAGGATCCTCCAACCGCCCTGGCTTCCCACTTGTCAACGTAAAACAAAGGACCATCGAACTATTACGTATGATATACGCACTGAGGATGCTATGACAGATTTGATGAGGGGTTAATAGAGTGCACCTACATTTAAGCATACAATAATTATCCCGACAGTCTCTTATAGAGCCAACTGTCAAAAATCTGTGAAATCCGTGAATTCTAATAAGGCCTTTTATTATTATTATTATTATTAAGGTTATAAGAAATACTACAATATTTCGCAGTAAGCATATTCATATAGGCCTACTCATATACGCTACTAATGCTTTGTGTTTGCATAAAGAGATCCCTGTAGTTGTAACATTGAACATGACATAGAGATAACACACTGTAGTGCAGTTATTCGTCTTTCCGTGCTAGTGACGTAATTATTTCCACCGGGCAGAACCCCCCCCCCACCCCCCTCATTACTGGGGAAAAACATTGAGCTGTCGTCTGATTTTTTCCGTTTAAAAAAAGGGGTGGGGGCAGTATTAGTTGTGATACCAAACTGTCGTATTACGATCGCTGAGGGTGAAGAGCTGCTTTGCGAGTTCTACCAATATTTGTTAAATGCCGCTGACTGGCTCTTATCAAATATGTCCACGTCCAACATTCCAGTGCAGAACAGTGGGATCAAGTATTTGATTGTAAAAACCGTCTCGTCTCTAGTTTTCTCCGTTTTCACCATCGCCGCGGTTCAAGGGAACAAAACTACGTCACAAGCTTGGTAGCAGTCAAAGGGGGCATGGTGGTGAATAGTAGGCCTATAAATATTACCAGTGACGCAGCTAACTAGTTCAGTGTGACACACAAAGCAACACTATGACAATCATCGCCATCAATACGATACTTTGCGGTGATATTTTTATAACCTTTGACACTCCGACCAACCCCCCCCCCCACCCATGCGTCCCGTATGCCGCAAATCTCCTTCATTAACAGCCCCCCACCTCCCCTCTCAGTGCGCACATAATATAATGAAGGATGGTCCCAACTTTAAAAAAAATTACAACCAATCGTTTTTCTCGTTCCATTCACCAGTAGATTTTTATTGGAAAAGGCTAAAACTTCAACAAACGAATTTTAATCGGAAAATATATTTTTTTTTCAACGGCTCTCTGAAAATCGTAGTTTTGGCGGGTCTCCGCGTACAATCGTAAAAGACATCTCAAAATCGTACATTGTACGCCAAAATCGTAAAAGTAAACAGGTCTGTTACATGCATAACATCAGAATTTAAAAAACTATACATTAAAAATGTACAAGTATTTCAAAATTTGAAAGGAGCTTTTTTTTTTAATTGCAATAACAGTGTTTTAGATTACAGACCAATACTTCAATTAAATTTAACAAACAATAAAGGTATAATTTGATACTGTCACACAATATTTTCCAAGACTTTTACCCACAAAATTAAACTTATTTCTGATTTGACAGTCTTACATTTGGCTCTGTGTAACTTATTTCTGATTTGACAGTCTTAAATTTAGGTTTGAGTAGCAAGGCAAATGTCTTGGTTTGACTTTCTGCAAAATGTAATATTTGATTTTTTTTTCTCACGTTGGTTTGCACAAAAATATCTCACATTGTCACAAATGACTGGGGCGGGGGTACAGGACAGAGCTCCATTGTTGATAAGGTACTTTATAGGATGGGCGGAAGTTGCTGTTATTTTAGTTTAGCGACGCCGTTGTTAATGGGTCAATTAAGGTTAATAGATTGACTGATTGTCACATCTTGGCGATAGGGGGATGTTTCTTTCCAAAATATTATGTCTCGGGTTTTCCAGACTTCACGTGACAATTTTGGTCTTGACGACGGAAGTTCCTAATTGACCGGAAATGAGGGGGGCATGGATAAGTTAATTGCCAGCACTCCTGGACCACCTAGGTAAGTAGAGATTTGTATATAAGACAGAACATTTCAAGATAGGGGTTAGTTGAGGAAGAGGGAACAGAGTTACGACGTAGTTGAGGAAGAGAGACCAAAGAGCTATGATAGAGTTGAGCAGTTGTCAGTCGCAAGATATCAGGAGACGTGTTGACTAGTGGAACGTAGGAGACGATATAGTTTAACAGTTTAGAAACAGTCGTAGATAGCTGACAGTTAGTGAATACTATAGAAGAACTTTTTATTTGAGTAATAAATATAGTCTATTTCATCATTGAACACTTGGAGTTTCTGTTGTTGGATTTCGTTCAAGTCTACGTTGTGCTTTTGTCTGTCTCAACGCTTAGACACCCACAATATAAATCACAGAGAGGAGTGGTCCTGTACTGACCACTACTAAGTCAATATAGTTTGTGACAAGTCAGGACCGGAGCCCTCCTCCGTAACAACCGTTCTGTGACACACATCAATGCTCAAAAATTATTTGGCATAAAATGGACCAGAACAAAAATTATGTGGAAGATATTGATCTAAGTACTTACAGTCCCTTTTGTTTACTTGATACCTGATTGACAAGAGCATCAGCAAGTCCACCAAAGCCCTAAAAATATTAGTTGTCTCCATCTTTAGTTTGTCATCAAAGATCTTATGTCTATTTACGACTAATAATTATCAATCAATCTTCAACACCGTTCACATGAACTGATTTAGAAATATGCAAGCTTTTTGGTATCTAATGTCTAATGTCAAAAAGCATTTATCATCACTTATAGAAATCCAGATAAATAAACAAAAAGTTTATGTGTCATTCAAAATATTAACAATATTAATTCTATAAATACATTAAATTAAATGAGATAAGAGAATATGGCTGACATAGAAGAATTGGTAGGCCTACATTATTTAGCTTAATTTTTCAGACTTCTAAAGAGCTCAAATTGCTAAAATTTAATTATTTTGCCTCTATCATTTAGTTTTTAGAATTCACATCCTTACATTAAATTCTATGATTTTTTACAAATAGCCTACATATTATTTTACTGACCTTCAAAATGAGAACATTAACATTTGGATTTTCAGCCATATCTAACAATTTTTGCAGAGTGTTCGCATCCCCTTGGGTAACAAGCACACATTCATAAGGTATGTGTCCAACTGTAAAAAAAATTAGTATGAACTTAAAAACGTACTTAACCCAGTAACACACCCAATGGAAAATAGGTCATAAACAACCCAAACCCCACCCCAAATATAAAAAAATAACCTCCAAAAACATAAATGTTTCATTTAAGGAAGATCATGTGTACTTTTCTTTCAGGCTTACAATTTACACATTTTGAATAGGTTGTTGCTTACCGCAGAAAAAAAAGAGTTTAATTACCATAGTTAAACTCAATACTTCAATTATTCTTTAGAGAAAATCAAATTTAAAATATGACTTAATTTGACTTACCTGCAGCTGCATCTTTTTTTGGTTTAATTTTATTTAGCAGAGCCACTGAGCTGTATGTAAATGATGGTGGCCACAAAGATTTCTCATATGAACGCTAAATGATAAATAAATAATGAAAATATATTTGTAAGTTAGATCTATAGATTATTTTAATTGTGAGTTTGACCTAGATAATGCAACTTTTCAATGTCAATGGGGGATCAAAATAACAATAAAACTTTAATTTAAATCTATCAGTATACACATGCCATCATGAGTACCGGTATTAAATTTTTTTCAAATTCCCATATAAAAAAGATATTAATTTTCTATATTTCAATCTAAGAGTGGTTACCAAAAATAAGCTTCATATTTTTAATGCATTGCTGCTCATTGCAATTGAAAGTTGGCAATATCAATATTTCATGATGGTCTTTTTTTTCCATTAAATGATCTCGTGTATTTGTTTAAAATCACATCTCCTTGGCTACTGATAATGCTGTTAATTTTTAAAAACATATTAAAATTAAATATACAACATATAAATATAGGAGGAAAAAAAACTAAAGATTATTTAAAATTGATAGATTAAAAAAACAAGCATGTTAGTGTTAGCATTGCTACTCTCTTGGTTTGTTTTTCCGAGTTTATTTATTTATTTATTTTTGTATTGTACGTAATTTACAAAATTTACAAAACGATGAAACTTAAAGGCTTTGAGGAGTACACAAATTTGTCTTCCAAAAAAATGTGTTTCACACACACAGTGATAATTTCAGATTTTTTCGGGTGGGGGGCAGTGCCAGCAGTGCCAGTTGATTTATTGTTGGACATATTTTTGCTTGGGGGGGCACTTGGCTTTCCCCCTCCCCCAGAGATATAGCTGAAAGAAACCCTGCACACTTACACACAAAGTAACCAAATTCATTAAGTTATTTTCCTGAAACTTACATTATGAGTTTCTAATTTATTTGGTAAAACAAATGGTTGCTTAGTGCTCTCTAGAACATCTCTGTCCTGATACTCACTAACAATCCAAGCACCTGATTGGGTGAAACATAATAAAGTTGTAACATAATATGAAAAATAAAAATACATTTTAATTAAATCTAGAATATTATGTAGGCCTAGTCTGAAGTGGTTGATTACTGGTATATTTAAACGCTAAATAACTTGACCCTTTAATTTCATGAATAAACACTTTATTTTCTATATATTTTTTTAACTAAATATTGTAAGTAAGAAATTGAAGTAACAGAATTTATTAGCTTGATTATTTATTTAGAAAGCTCCTGCGTTATACTTATGGCTCATTAAATAATATTTTTAGTGTTTCATCAAATATCAATTTTGAATTCAAGATAGTCTCCCTTAGCAATACTATTTGATATTAGGATTCTCATGTTATTTTAGTAGGCTGAGAAAATAACTTTTAAACATATTACATGTATACCAACAATTTAAACTATTAACTGAAACTGAATGATGATTTCAAATTTGAAGTTTAATATTACCAAATCCTTAATGTCTGTCTGTGTGTTATATTTATATGAATATAAATATATAAGACACTCACTGACTGACTGATCACGAGTTCTTAAGTGCACAATCTCTATGAAGTTGAATATTTCCATGTTTTAAATTATTTTTTTTAATTCAGTTTTTGGTAAAAGTGCAGTTCAGACCCAGTTTTTATAATAATATAGCTTGAAATTACCAAAGTCCGAAAAATATAGTAAAGCAATGTTTCGTTTTGTGGCGTTTTTTAGTTCTTGTTTTTTTGTTTTTGTTTTTTTTTTTTTTTTTTTGAAATCACGTTTTTTTTTTTTGGCACTTCATTTAACAATCCTTTATTTCAGTGGTTATCAACCTTCCTACTGCCGCGACCCTTTAATGCAGTTCCTCATGTCGTGGCGACCCCCAGCCACCAAATTATTTTCGTAGCTACTTCATAACTGTAGAGTATATGTGTTTTCAGATGGTCTTAGGCGACCCCTGGGAAAGTGTCGTGCGACCCCCAAAGGGGTCGCGACCCACAGGTTGAGAACCGCTGCTTTATTTAGTTTCGCGAATGATGCGCATACAACAAGAATATTTTAAACCACGTATCTCAAGTTAAAAATCGTCGACTGGTGTAAACACTTCTGTCTTTCAAAAATCTTAACATAAAATGTAGTAGATACTTTATTATATTTCAATAATGTTTGATAATTTTGTTGCATTCAACAAGATAAAAGTTATTAGTTAATCATATTATTTCAACATTATAATTTTGTTCTTTTCCTTTTCAATGTAGGTATTTGACATTTTTAAAGGGGTCGATGGTATATAAAATCATAATAAATTTATATAAATTTATTATAGACGTTAAGTAATTGACCCCATTTTATGCAGGAACAGGATTTTGCAGAAGTTAAGTCAAATAAAAGATCACTGGCATTGGTGACAAACTAATGTATGATATCGTCATAGTCCCAAGAAAAATTGAGAGTTCTATCAAGAATCACCCATGTGACCAAGCTGGGAAGAGGGTTGTATCGGTGAAAATAGAAATGAAATAGTTAAGCACTGGTAGACGTTCCTTAAAATTAAAAATTTTACAAGGGAAACGGATACACTCAAATGCCTAAGAATTTTTAAAAATTAAAAGGACTTGCGTAACCAGCCGTGGGGTTTCTATCAAGTAATTTTTTTTTTTTTTATATTAGATATGGTGATAATTATTTGGTGTGCAGTGATAAATCTGATGCTTCATACCACAAGAAAGTAAAAAAAAAAAAAAAATTCTGGACGGTGAAAAAAAAATTAAAAATTTTACAATGGAAACGAATACACTCAAATGACTAAGAATTTTTAAAAATTAAAAGGATTTGCGTAACCAGCCGTGGGGTTTCTAACAAGTAATTTTTTTTTTTTTTATATTAGATATGGTGATAATTATTTGGTGTGCAGTGATAAATCTGATGCTTCATACCACAAGAAAGTAAAAAAAAAAAAAAATTCTGGACGGTGAAAAGACAGCCCACTCTGCCTTCAAGCTGCCTCTTACCTTAAGTCAACCTGAGACAACTTTTTGCAACACTTTGAAACAGTCTAATACAACTCAGATGCTTCGGGAGAAAAGGGTAATTGTTTGGGATGAGTGCACCATGGCTCTCAACGGGGGAACAGAAGCATTGGACAAAGTCTTTCAGGAAATCCGGAGAAGTAAATGTCTTGTAAATGTGATTAATTTGCGGTGATTTTCAGGCAGACCCTACCCGCCTTTTTCGGGAAAGCGTGCTGATGAGGTCAAAGCCTGGCTTAAGTCACCCCATTCATTATGGCCTAAATCCCAAGTCCGATCCTTGCGAGTCAACACGAAGGTTCATCTCAAAGGCAATCTTAAGGCAGGGGAGTTCTCAAGCTTCCATCTCTAATTAACTAATAATAAGAGTGTTGGACTACGATAAAGCTTTAAGATAGATTACTCAATTTTGTTGATTTACAACATCTTTTTTAAAAAGTGTGGTAAATTATATGTAGGAGAGACAGGTCGTCGCCTTAAAGACAGGTTTAGAGAACACCTCTATAACATAAATAAACAAGTCCTTTGTCAGGTCTCCAAACATTTTTAATGATACTAACCAGGATGGAATTTTAGACTTCGCATTTACTGGTATAATTTATACAAGTAATAAACCGCATAAGATTTATATGGAAGATAAATTAATAACAAGATTTGGTATGTTGACTCCATACGGTATAAAACAAATCCCAAATTTTACGTAGCTGCCATGTCTTTACCTGTTCGTTTTTTTTGTTTTGTTTTTTTTTTGTTTTTTTTTACATTTTACTTCAAATCACTTCCTTTCTGTTCTTCTACACTTTGTTTCTGTATGGGTTTTGCGCCCACTCCTATTCTTTTCTATTGTGTAGTTAGGATGCATGTACATATATACATTATATATATTAAATTATGTAAATTTAATTTATACAATTTAATGTTTTGTTGTTGTATTGATGAAGGCGTTTGCCGAAACTTTTACTTGTGTATTATGTTAAATTATTTTTAAAGCTGAACATATTATTTTATTGACACAAATTTTTCGTGTCTAATCTCATCTCCAAATAGAACATGGGAATTTAAAGGAAGATAAGGATACGCTATATCCTCTGGGAAATCTCTGTGACGATCAAAGCCAATGGATGAAAAAACAAAATCATATATGAGAAATGTAGACTTGGCTAATTTGATTTTTTCTTTTTTTTTTTTTTTTTTTTTTTTTTTTTTTTTTGTTGTGTTGCTTGCATCCGTCCGTAACAATGTGATGGTGAAGATTTTGCAGGGTGAAATCCACAAAGTTTGGGATTATTCTTCTAGGTTTATACGCTTGTTCCCGAAAGCAAATCGCTCCCACGCTGCTGGATAACCCAAAGGAACATCATGTACAGCTTGGCACCAGTGGCGTCGCAGGAGTTGTCGGAATGTTTCATGTACCTACGGGACTCCATCTCTGGGTTTGAATTCAGAGTTTCCTTCTCTTAGATGAGTTGCCATCCAAGGTTAACGAATCTCATCCAACCGGGGTGCTGGTAATGTGTTTTGCTTGACTGGGCTTTGAACTCAAGACCACCAACTTGAGATTTGACCACCCGGTCACCCAGCACACAACTTGATATGGCTTAAAGAATAGCTATTCTTACACCCAAAACCAACATGGAAGAAAAACATCAATGGTTCTTTATCAGATCAACTTCCTACTGAGATTCCGCTATATCAGACTGTGGACTCCGTGTTTGACTTAGAGGTCGTGGTGTAATTTCCGGTAGAGTTCTTTCGCACTTTAAGGATTCCCCCACATAAGTTATGTCTGAAAGTTTGTACTCCACTCATGCTGTTGCGCAATCTGATAGCCCCTAAATTTTGTAACAGCACCAGGCTGCAGGTTAAAGTCGTGAATAGATATGTCGTCAATGAAGCCGGGGAAACAGACTTAATACCCCGAATTTCCATAACACGAGTCCCTCCGACCACCACCTTAAGTCTAAGGAACTGAAGTTTCCTGTCAAAGTCTGCTTTGCAACAACAATAAACAAATCTGGGTAGACTTTTAAAGTGGCTAGCGTGGATTTCATGAATAACTGAGTCTCAGCATCATTAAAAAAAAAAATACAAGAAACTATGATGTGTGTTTTCAGTTAACATGCTTCGCAGCTCAGGGGGTACACGAAGTTAGTAAACAATATGCCCATTTTTAAGATTCTATGGCAAGTTTATCATAGAATGAAAGGTGTGTTCTTCATCTCAATACAATCCCTCATTTTTACAGTTATATTTTGTTGGCAACAATGAAAAAGAGACAGTAAATTGGTCTAAGCTCTTTCCTGCCGTAAAGTTTTGATAAGTCTATCAATTTAAAAAAAAAGAAATGATGCCTGATCACAATCCATACATAAAACATATTAACAAACAGCAAATGTAAAGCGTTCCAGGACAAACGTAGTTTAATGGGATTCATGCGGACAAATGGAAAGCGTTCCAGAACAAACGTAGTTTAATGGGATTCATGCGGACAAATGGAAAGCGTTCCAGAACAAACGTAGTTTAATGGGATTCATGCGGACAAATGGAAAGCGTTCCAGGACAAACGTAGTTTAATGGGATTCATGCGGACAAATGGAAAGCGTTCCAGGACAAACGTAGTTTAATGGGATTCATGCGGACAAATGGAAAGCGTTCCAGAACAAACGTAGTTTAATGGGATTCATGCGGACAAATGGAAAGCGTTCCAGAACAAACGTAGTTTAATGGGATTCATGCGGACAAATGGAAAGCGTTCCAGAACAAACGTAGTTTAATGGGATTCATGCGGACAAATGGAAAGCGTTCCAGAACAAACGTAGTTTAATGGGATTCATGCGGACACAAAAAAACTACAGTTGGTCATATAGCAGTCCTCGTAAGGGTTGGAAAAAAAGGGGGGGACTTCGCTTTGGTAATAATTCTGTGCGTGAGTTTGAAAAGTGAGACGTAATTCTGCTTAGCTGAGACACTAAGTTGATGCGAATCATCGAAACTTATCGTGCTTACGATGCTCTCCAGTACCCTTTTTTTGTGCTGCCATAATGATGATGGTTACTGCATCCTTTAACAAGCGCGGTCCCACTACATCATACTATATTTGAAATTCCCCCAAAAATCGTAGTGAAACTAGTGATTAGACATAATGTTAACCAACCTATAGTGTCGATTAACTGAATGATTCTCCTCCTGAGAGACTTATGAAGTATCTTTATACCTCCTTGCCCTGTAAAATAAAATATTAATAACTTTGTGGATTAAAAAGATTTTTTAAAAAATATTTTCTAAAATAAATGAAAAAATTAACGTATCTATGCTCCTGAACCGAATTGATCAAACCAGTGGTGCATATGAATGCTATTATCTCAGTAACCGAATTATCTTAATTAAGCTTTCCCCAAACCTGTATAGGAAATGCAGTATTGTACTGGATCTCTTTCGGATTTAGGTGGTTGATCTTTTGGTGAGATGGTGTAGCCCATAAGTCTAATGATGAGTTCGGGTTGGTCAAAGTATAGACCATCAAGGACATCCAAATAATGGCTCTCCGTCTTAAGACACAAAATGAAGACACTAAGTTATAACTGAAATGGACTTTCACTTAAGCACACAAAAAAGGCTTGCTTGCGAAAAATGCATTAAATATAACTTACAGCGGTTCGCAATATATTCAAATATGTTAATCACAGCTGAAGACAGACTACTTACTACAGCCTTAAGCTAAATAAAACATTTTCTTTTTCCAATGACCAAGACAAAAAATATATTAAAACAATTTTTTTTAGTAACGTCTCAGTGGCTGACTAAAGATTAGGGGCTATCCAATAAACATCAATACAATATAATTCACTATGTGTTAATATCAAAAACACTACCAGATGGCAATGAATTCGCTTAAATAAAATTCCGGACAACTGCGCTAAATGAGATTCTTAAAAATATCGCAAATGCGTTTGGTGCGTGATCTTACTTTTAGTATTACGGAAACGGTTGGTGTATTAAATCTGAGGTGTAAAAGAGGGTAGAACACTAGAATATGAATATAGTTCAGTGGCGTAGCGGGGGACAGGGGTAGCATTAATTGCTAATCTTATAAAGTTGGAAGATGGAAAGTTCTCGGATTGCGGCCACCATTGTGTGGCGGGCTATAGCTAAGAAGTTGATAATAATGAGGCATTACTGGGTCATATAACATAATGGTGTTTTCTACGTAGCAAGGAGGCTACATCACTGCTCCACACTCGGATTCTTTACTATGAGATTTGTTAATGGATAAAAAAAAAAGTTTTGCATTTATTTAGAGGAAGAAAGAGATCTTAATCTTGAAGCGCTAATTTAAACCTCAAATAAACAAAAATATAATAATAGAAGTTCTAACTCACTTTTTGGTCGTTCTTTACTTTCACACAGAACCTATGCTAGCCATAAGTACCTAGGCCTACGTTGCAGGACAATAATTTATGTCAGGGGCCTATAGGGACAGATGCGCGGGTCGTTTATTTAAGGAATACATTTATTGTCTATTTGAATGGCGTCTACGGCAAAGTTAAGCGCTAGCTTAAAGCAGTCAACACTAAATACTAATTAAATGCTACTCATACTCACTGATGAAAGAGTTGTAAACACATCTCCATTTTTATCCTTCCAGACCAAGATGTTCCTATTAATATAACAAATTATGATTTAAAGTGGGTGGGGATTAAATTTCGGTTGAAACTGAACGATTCCGTGAATAGTGGAAAGATCATAATATATCTGATATAATGTTGCGTTACATTTGCAATATGTCACACGTGCATCAAACAAAAAATTTACAAAGGAAGTAACTGCTCTATCACAAGGAAGGGGACGAAAGGTGTGCTTCATTTTAAAAGGTAATTCAGGTGCTTAAACTGTTCTTAAAATCAAACAGAAGATTAATGTATCTTTCCATTTGGCTATTTTTAAGCTGAGTAAAGGGAAAAAAAACACAAATAACTGAAAGTCTAATGATAGCAGCTCAATAATGCCTTAGTAGTAGTACTAAAAATTATCACATGATTAAAAATTGCTTATGTGACCGAAAAAAAAAACGGCTATAGATTTACCCGTTTATCTACGGCTGTCCGAATAAATCTAGAACGTTTGAGCAAAAATGAACTTTAAAAAAACTTGTATTAAATTAAACACAGGACTACTGTAATTTAAATTAACGAATTTAATGTAAATCGAAGTGTATTTTTTAAACTTCCAGCTGTTGTCAAAAATGTTTAGCTTATCACTGCAGACGCTACAGTCCATCTACAATATAAATAAAATAGTATAGCGTCAAGTTTTAAATATTCTATTATTTATATGTGTGAAAATATAAAAGCATTGTAACATTTTAGCGGAAGCATTGGAAATAACTTTTAGTTAAGTAATTTAGAGTTTCAAACAGGCACATAATTTTACTTTCATATCGATAGGATCAGGTCTCTACGTAAGGCGCCGGCGGGATTGCCTGCAATGGAGTCAGGCTGTCAGTGACAGCCGAAAAGAAAGGGGTGGGAGGGTAGTTGTTGAGACGTTCAATCAAGGCCAGAAGACTTGGTTGGATAAAGAGCCGTCCATAAAGTACCGCATGCTAGGTTTTTTTTATTATTGTTTATCCCCCCCCCCCAACCCCCAAACCCGGCCTTGTCGCAATCTGTAACAAATCTCAGTACGTCAAACTTTCGAACTAAAAAGTTGTTTTAAACAATAACCCCTTTTTACAATTTAATCTAAAACACACTTACTTTTAAACTAGTAAATGTATGAGAGTGACATCTTCTGTCAGAAAAAATCTGTTACAACAGAAATTTCAACATCACTGTCAATTTCAGGGCTTATTTGTATGATAAAAAAATCTAAAAACGTGTGACGCCACACAATATATTTTCCCCCACTCCACCCTAGTGCAACAACTGTCACATTTTCTTAAAGCCCCTCCCCCCCTCCACCCTAGTGCAACAAACTGTCACATTTTCTTAAAGCCCCTCCCCCCCCCTCCTCCGGTGCGTGACGTACTTTATGGAAGGCCCTTAAGTAATTTCTTACTGGATAACTCACACAATTATATTTTAAGACAGTTTCTTAACTCCTATACTATTAATTATTAGCTTTCATTTGTTAGTTCTTTTAATTAGTGCGTCTTTTCCTCAATACAAATTAGTTATTTATGAATACAAATAAATATGATGCGAGCGCCCATGAATATAAATTTTAAAAAATAATAATTTTTAAACTATACTTTGAATAACGGTAATTTAATACAAAAAAAATAGATAGATTCACTCCAGTAATACTTTCATATTAATTTCAGTTTGAGACGAGGTGGATGGATTGGCATTTTTCTTATTCCATCGTTACTTTGGAGATTGTGTCGGTGGGTCGTTGAGTTCGCACTCATAATACCCCCCCCCCCGGCACTCCCCCAAACGGACCAAGGCCTCCCCGGAAGCCCCAGACCATGCGGAAGCGTGCCGGGAACTTCCCTCACTGGCCTGAGGGACGTCCGGCAGACCGAGGGCGCTGCGTTTAAAGCGCCCGTAGTCCGCTCTCCTATGGGTCAGAAAGGCTTTACTTCCTCTCCGGAGAGGTGGTGTTGCGTTACCACTCCCCACCGCCCACAGAGCTGTCCGGTCGGGACGTAGCGGGGACGAAACGGTCGCTAGGGGCGGCTTTCTCAGGGCCGCGTCTCTTTTAATCATTGACAAGGGTTGATCCATTCGACATAAGACCCAAGAAGTATTGCGAATATCTCAAAGATTATTCATTAGATTTTAAACAAACATCTTTGATTTCATACGATGAGTAGATGCTACTCTCTCGTATGTACAGAATTCACTTTCACGACCACACAGAACATAGACACTATTTTGCCATGCTAGAGACAGTGTACACATGGCATCAGATGACAGACGCCATGAGTTGATGTACGGACTTTGGACGACGCCAGGATTTTCTCTCTCCTTTTCATATTTCTCGGATTCCTTTGGTGCAAGTTTCTAAGTAACTTGCTGAAAGCTTTGCGTTTTCGTGGGTCTACTGTCGTATTAATCAAACTGTAACTCCTGAGTCATTACACCAACGCCTTATTTCTTTTCTATACTCGCCACAGCCGTATAAAAAAAAAAAAACAAAAAAAAAAGACAATTATAAATGTACCTACCCTTCTATATTTTGGTCACCACTGGGAACGTAAACCATTATGTGGAGGATACAATTGAAATATTAGATGTTAATCATTGAATCTATTTCAAAAGAACGTCTAAGTCTTCAAATCATAATCCAAAATATTATTATTTGTATAAGCCACTGTTCCTATACTAGATAATTGTGAAGTAAAATTACACAGCAGTGTATTGATCCACGACCACATATCATTATGATTATCTTAAAATACTTTCCCCATACCTAATGTCGTTTTAAATCATAAAACCCACGATGATGAAAACTTCCAATTAACTGAAGGTATTATAAGGTATTATAAGGTATTATAAGGTATTATAAGGTATTATTTGATGAACGTTTATAAGAAGAATGGAAAAGTAAAATAGGATAAAACTTTTCAAATAAGACATGTTTCAAGCGTAGTTAAGGATATACACTTCACTTGAAATACATTTATAGCTCCATTTTTTAAATTAATTATATATTTTATTGATTTTTAGTGTTGCAATTTGAATGGTTTTTTTTTTTTTTTAAAGATATGGATCTAGCGTAGCCATTCTAAGTTAAAGAATGCGGGTTAAATCTTCTAGAACAGTGCAACCCGAAATGATGGTCCGCTGAACCTATTCAGGGGCACACAGGCGCCGGTCCATAACCATTGAACAATCCAGGAATTTTGAAAAATATCAATAATCGGTAAGTTTGGCAGCAGTTCGTGTTGGAAATGTGCATAATTCATGCCGGTCTGTCTCATTCACTAAGTTTGAGGAGCACTGCTCTAGAGAACATAGCAGGGCCGGCGCTAGGGGATGGCGAAGTGGGCGCGGGGCCCCGCGCGTTGCCGTAGTATTTTTTTTATTTTTTTTTTTTGGTTTTATTTTTTTGCTTTAGTCCAGATGAAAATGGCTCATTCAGCTTCGTATTTTCGCTATTTGTTTTTTTTTTTTTTGACAACCTTGATATTGGTAATAATGGAGCCGCGATGAGTAANTTTTTTTTTTTTTTTTTTTTTGGTTTTATTTTTTTGCTTTAGTCCAGATGAAAATGGCTCATTCAGCTTCGTATTTTCGCTATTTGTTTTTTTTTTTTTTGACAACCTTGATATTGGTAATAATGGAGCCGCGATGAGTAATTTGACAGGGCAATTAACTGTTATAGGAAAAAATAGAAATTTTGGAAACTAAGCGAGTGAACAAATATCCCATTATGACTATAACGTGTCTTAATATTCTATCGGCAGAATATATAACTTCAACGGCCCTGCAAAATTCAATTTGCCCAAGGCCCCGCACCCTCCTAGCGCCGGCCCTGAACACAGCTTGTTTTTAAAGTAAAGATATAATTTATAAGTAATATAATCTTATATTTTCAATAATCTACATCCGATTTATCAGGTACTTATTACTGAATTTAAGGTCTCAGGTCAGGAAAAGTATGGCAGTTACAATCTCTGGACCTACCTGTTTTGTCTTTGTTCATCTTGTGGCAATTTCAAAGAATCTTTCGGACTTCCCGTACTTTGTCTTGAAGAATTCCTATATTAAATGGATGTTCAGCTCTGATTATCAAACATGTGCAACATAGAAAATTTGTAACACAGTGAACACGCAAGTCCCATCTCGCATGATAAATAAATTTATAATATTTAAATCGCACATCAGTTTGCATAACAATATGACAACATTTATATTTCGTACGTCCGGTGTTAGCATATGATTTGTTTGTTTTTTTTTTTGTTTTTTTTTTTTGTGTTTTTTTTCTAATTTTTTCATCAGAATAAACAATTTTCTCAAGACAATGTTCAATAGTTCATCGGGCGTTGTTTCGTGGCTGACAGCAGCACCTTGTCATCAGTGAAATCGAAGTCTCTAAGCGTGCACTTTCCATTGGATATCACACTATTGTGCCCATGCTGTTTTCTTCATAAAACGATACATTTGTACGGTATTCACGGGCGGCGTTTTCATGAAAGGACCGCAACCAGCAAGCACCATAAAAACACTTATAAAATATAACC